TTTTGCTATCCTGTCTTTGCCTTGACAACATTGAGGATTTTTCGTATTGACAAATGTCAAATAGTCAAATCGCTCCAAGTGTTGGTGAACGATTAAAGTATCTTTGCATTGATGGATTATTACACGGTAATATCTATAATAAGTTTCTATTATTATATTTCTATTCTATTGAAAATTAATTAATTTTACATTGACATTTCACAATTGCTTAACTGCTTTTGTCGTTTTATAATTAAGAGTTTATAAGCAAAGCCATTTAAAAGAGTTCTTTTTGCAATTTTATAAAGCACTACAGTTATATTTAATTAAATTATTTGAGTATTGCAGACTATAAGGATTATATCTTTCATAATTGTATAAAACTTGATTAGAGGAGGAGGTAAGCATACAAGCTAAACTTCTACTGAACATGGCTAAGGAATACGTATGTCTCTAATGGCCAACTGAGTAAGTATGTAATATAATATAACATTGATTCAGAGTCATTTAAAATAATAAAATAAAGAAAAAACATGGCGTCGTTAAAGAATGCATATGACACAAGGCTCCCCTTCTCAAAATTGTGATAAAAATAATATTTTATAGTTAAAAAGGCACATATTTTTTACTTTTTAGCTTTAGTAAAAGATCCAAATATGTTAAGTACAACAATAAACAAAATTATATATGGTACATATGGTATTATTGTAATAATTATAATGCTTATTGTCCTTACGCTCCTTTTTAATCCCGTATATTTGAGCTATTCAACCATTACAGTATAATTAGCGATATGTTGTTCCGGATTTTTAATGAGGACACAACAGCGCCACACAGTGGTGAAGGCATACTACATGAGACTAAAAATGCCCTACATGTAAACAGGAATCCCTTACATCAAAGTAGGAATGGCCTACATTAAAGTAGAAATACCTTCCTCTGAAAATATGGTATGATCCTCAAAGTCAATTTTATTAAATCGATAGACATTAATCTCGTTTAATATATAACTTATTCGAGCGATATCTCAGTTTGCACTGACTTGTTAAGTAAACAGATATAGGTAGGTAATTCGGAGTAGCAACCTTGTCCACTTGGGCTCAAATGATGGCCCATTGTGGTACCACAGGAATAAAATTGGTACATAAATAGATTTAAATCAGTATACAGCCAACCCCGAAAAAGGTAACGACTTCCCCATTAGGTAAAGGAAAACCAACTAGACAGTACTATAAACTTTGCCAGGTGCCTAACATTACAGGATGACAGATCGGTGTAAAAAGGGATCCGAAGATTTTTAATCTTCTGCTAGCTAAGGAAGAACATTGACACATGAGACGGAGCACGGTCTCATCCTCAGAGCCACATAGCATGTCTTCCTATTTCGCAGTGTTCCCGTCAGCACAGATACAGAGGTGCTTAGCAGATTTGCCAGTTTAATTGTTGCAAGTGGAACGCCTATATCTGAGAAATGAATGTTAGGAATGGCTTACATTAAAGTAGGAATGTCCTACTTCTGAGAATATGGTCTGAGCTTGGATGCCAAGTTTACTGTATCAATAGACATTAGTGTCGTTTAACATATAATTTATTTAAGTGATATGTCAGTTTGCACTGACCAATTAAGTAATTAGATTTTGGGTAAGCAACTCGATATCCAATTTATGTGTAAAAAGAATTTTAATACTTTTTTTAATATTTTGTTTTATTTTTTTCTTCACTTTGTGTAATTAACATCATAATTAATATTATTTTTATAGGAGATAATTAAAAATAATAAAAAAATGTGCATTTATGAAATTAAATAATAAAACTAAAATAATGACATTTAATATTTTGTTTAATTAAAATCATGAGGCTATATGAGGCTTGTAATAAATAATTCCTTATTAATATTTAACTATAATTATATGATTTTATATGACCAAATTAACAAATAATTTAAATATGCTCAATAATATAATATGGTATTAGTGGAATAATAGATTCAAACAAATAGCGTTCGCACCTAATGCAAAGCCTTTTAATTGATTTATTTAATGAATTAATTTAATTACAAAAATCAAAGCCAAAAGTTTTTCAAATGCTAATTACAGAAATTAGAATCCCAAACCGAACCACATAGATAAGTAAATATTTACTCAATTCAAAATATGTGCATTCATAATTTGTTGTGTGGCTACGCGTAAATATTTGCCCACGACCCGAATCGCGGACAGGAGTGCCTCACTTTTGTCCCGCGCATTCGGAATTCGGAATAGTGAATTCTGAATTTATTATGTTTATAAATTATGTTAATTATTTTATTTGCATTGCCACAAGTTTAGTATTATTTGCATTAATAGGCTACGTTAATGTTTGCAACTAGCTGGGTCGGCTACTGAATAAATACATAAACAATTCCTTACTTTGAATCCATTGTGGATTCAATCTCTTCAGTTTTTGCGGTAAGTCGTAAAAGTTCAAGATTTTTTGCAAATTAATCAAAATATACAAACTTAGCCTTTTTTTTGAAGTTTGAAGGTAATGCAATACTAATTATTTATTTTTGCAATTATAAATTTAATTTCAATATTCAAAAAGAAAAAAATCAACAACAAAAATAGTTTACTGAAAGCAAACTACTATTGGAACCTGTTTACGATCTGGTACTAAACAATATCTTAATACCATTGTGACACCAAAAACTTGTACTTAAAATTAATATTGAAAACTGAACTTATCTAGGACGATTGCTTGCTGATAGCATGCAGTAGATGAGCTTTAGAAATTAAGCCCCAACAATTATAAAGAGACCCCTTACTGAGGTTGGACTCAGAATGCATTGTCAGAATGCATTGTCCAACTAACAGAAGATGTCAATATACGTTTAATGTATATATTGTCATACAAAAATCTTACAAAAATGATTAAAAAAAGATCTTATATAAAACAAAGTTAAGAAACCCGCTAATTAGGTATAGTCTCCTTATTGAAACTGCACATATACTGCACATATTTTTTAAAAGGTTTTGGTTGACATTTTTCAAGAGCAAAGATGATTTCCTCGTACTGTATGAACCAGTTCACATCAAGAGTTAGTCAAGTATTGAACAACTATTTGTCATTACGAACTTGTCCATTCCAATCAATTTAGTTTTACAATATACATATATACTCTGAACTTTTATGTGACTCTAAAGCATAATTGAGTTGTGATTCGCAAATATACATAGCATATCAAGAATAGCATAAGGAATAGCATAAGCAGCCTACATTCACATAAGGAAAAGTATAAACTAAACATTGATCTAGATCACTTCCAGCTGATCAGTACGAATTGGTGAACATAAGTAGTACGCCAGAGAGAGAAAAAGGAAGCGTTACTCAACTGCTTAATATCCCGATTAAAAATGGGAGCAGATCTTCTTAAAATTCCAACAGTGAGTTAGTGTCTTAAAACCTTTTCATAGTATTATAAGGAACTTCCTTAACCTCTAAGTTACATTTTTTTCCATGTCACGTAATGTCATCGGCTTTTATGTTTCATCTAGAAGGCAAATGAGGCTCTATGCTCTAATAAGAGTTAAATAATAGAAGAAGAAGAATATGGCAAATACTATTAGTTGACTATCGCAAAGGATGGAAATAAAGAAACTAGTATATAAGCCTAACTATATTAAGAAGTATAATACAATAGGTTGCTTAAATAATGAAAGAAATCAATGTTTTTTGTATTTTCTTTGAATATTTAAACTATGTAGCTACGGGAAGGAACATCTGGAGAAGATGATGATTTTTTTTACCTTAGATATTAAATGCGGTTACATACCTAAGTATGATATTATGTTATATATTTCAAAATAGTCAGATATCGCTAAGATGTGCTGTAGACAATCTCTCATAGTTTAGTATTTCCTTGTTGTGCCCCATGGATTATTTAGTTTTTAAGTTATTTTCTTTAATTTGTGGTGAGTGACATAGAGAAGAACAAATATAAGATTACAATTAATAACAAAGTTCGTTATGTAGGCTATGTTTCTTACCTAATAATACTCTGAGGTCACTTGATGATTCTAAGGAGTATAATAATTCCGATATATCTGATTCTGATATAACGCATCGTGTCCAAAATTCGACATTTTCATAACACTCAAAAAATATTTTGTAGCGTAGTGTCATTTCTAACAAAAAAAAAGGGATACAACTGTGTTTTCGACAATTTGCAATAATAAGAAGAAAGAGGAATTTTGCGTATTGGTAGACTGGTAAACTATAAGCCAGTTCCATACATTAACTCAAAATTGACGAATTTGGAGTTGTGCCTTTTTTGAAGAGAGTGTGCGAAGTAATTCGGATAGGGATGAAATAGATAATATGGTATGTTCCTAAGAGTGTTGGATGGATAAGATAGAAAATGATTGCATCTCATTATGATAAAAAAGCGTAATCGGGATGACCTGTCAAATTAAATTTTCAATTAAATAAAAACAAATTATTTTTAATTTTTTAACATTTAATTAATTTATTTTATTTTTGTTTTTCAATTTTGTGCATTTAAGAAATGCCTTGGTATATATTCTTTTTTATGTGTTTATGGACAATAATTTATATATAAGAATGAATACAATTTTTGGCTTTCAATTGGTTACTTTTTCACATATACACATATATAAATATATATATATATGTTTTATTTTTATGTATGAACTGATTTTATTGTATAAGAAATCGTATATAGTTTTTGTTCTCTAATATAGGCATATAATTATAAAATATGTATACGCGTTGGATATATTCTTTAGATACGATATATAATTATTTCTTTGGCTTATATAATTTTTTTTGTTTATTTAAGAAATATATTAATATGAATTAAAATTTACTGATTTTTTCGGTTTGTCTTTATATAATGATAAAAATATTTTTGCTATATGAATTAATTGAAAATAAAATAAAAAAAATTTTTTTTTAATTAAAAAGAAAAATAATTATTGTAATTTTTAACTATCTTTGATTTACATATATTATAACATTTATAATTAGTAATACTCATGCGTAAGGATTTATTTGCAACATACATCTCTACTATGTTCAACTATTTTGATATTTTTTTTTAAAAAATAATTTATTATTTTTAATATTTTTTAATTATTGTAATATTTTCAGTTTGACTAGTGTGCAACGTTTTTTCTTTACTTGCTGTAAGGGGAACTGATTTGGAATATATTTTAGGTTTAGTGTTGCAGAATTTGTTTATATTTCTGTTCTTTTCTTTTTTGAAAATTAATTTTTTATTTCTAATATATAAATATGTTTATTGATAATATATTTACAAAGATTTAAAAATTTTTCTCTTATTCATTTAACAAAAACAATTTTTTTAACTTAACTAATAACATATTTTCTCTCATAATTCAAAAGCATAAAAATAAACATTTAATATACATATATATATACATATATAGATATAAATAATTAAATAATAAATTAATTTAGTATTAGTTTTTTTTTGAAATAAATTCAGTCTTTGGCGTTATCACAACATTTGTTTACACGTTTTGGGGTTTTTTTATTTGCGCTACTTGAGGCAATTAAATAATAAATAATATAAAATAAAATAAAATTAGTATAAAATTAAAATATTCGAACTAAAATATAAATTAAACAAGAAATTAGAACTATAGAATTTGTGGTAAATTCGTTAAAATTATTTATAATAGTATTAATTATTTTTGCTATGCCTAACTTAACATTTTATGAAACGCCCAAATCGTGCAGCAAATGTTGTGTAATAACTTCACCTTGCTCCTCCATCAGTTGTGCTGTCATCGTGTTTATCAGATTAAAGACAATGGCGAAGATGGTGAAGGCACTGTATATACCAAGTGCTAGCCACCAAATGAGATTCTCATAGGCGCGATGCTCGAAATTTTTTAGCACCAATAGACCAATTGTTAGACCGGCTAAAGCACCCGTCAAATGTGCTACATACGACACAGACGGGGCTGAAGGATTGGCTGGTACCAGTGAGTCAAGATATTGTGTATAAAGTGCATATCCCAGATCGCAAAATACTAAAATGATAAAAATAAAGGAGTTGTTTGTTAGTTAAACTGTGATTTCTTATTTTATATATATATGTATTTTTTTAATATATAATAAATTTATTGCAAAAATTATTATTTATTGCAAAATTTATTTACACAATAAAAATTAAAAAATAAAATAAAACAAAGATTTAAAAAAAAAAGTAATACATATATTACCGTACATTTATAAAAATAAGTGAAATAATAATAAAATAATAATAGAATAAAATAAATAATATTCAAAAATATAAAAATTAAAACTAACATAACTAATTAAAAGTTTTGTTAAACTTAAATCTTAAGTTCTCAAGATTATTTTTTTTTTGAAAAAATTACTGGAGATAATTTTAAAGTAAATAAAAAAAAATAAAATTAATTAAATAAAATAACCTCAAATGAAAATAACTGAAGATAAAAAATAAAATAAATAAAGAAATAAAAAATACAATTCTATCTAGTGAGTTGGCGGTACATTATGCTCTCAGTAATCAGGACATTTATGTTTCAACTGCTATCCATTGTTGAAATATCCGACTTAACCAAAAATTTTTAATTAAACTAATTATTTAAAAAAATATATATTTAATTTAAATGTTATTTGAACAAAAAAAGACATAAAGGTTGATATCAATTGCAGTGTTCGAATTATTGAGAGCACACTGTATCAGTGTTTGAATAAAAAATATTAAGATAATTAAAATCTCTCTAACACTTACCAAATATCACAACTGACACCAACTGTGCTGTTGCGTATTTCATCTGACCATAATTTAATGTGATATTAGCTAAATGTGCAGCTAATATTGCGTATACGCCACCGCTGGCACCAACCAAATATACTTCGGAGTCCACAACGCTCGTGCCCAGCGAGCCTGCAAACACACCGGCAAAATATATGACAGCAATACGTGCCGAGCCGTGCATCACCTCCAGGGGAATGCCATAAAATAACTGTATGACCACATTAAACCCTAAATGAAACCAATTCGCATGCAAGAACATATACGAAACAAAACGCCAAACTTGTAAACGACGATCTGGACGATAAATAAATACCGAATCGGCGGGTATGGGTACTGGTAATTGTTTGATTTCGGGTTGCATTGTTAGCAAATCGTAAACAAATACTGCGATCTGAAATGAATAAAGAAAAAAAAATTTTACATTAGTTAAAATAAAAGAAACAGCAAATATTAGTTACTTATATATGTATTTAAATAAAATTATTTTTAAAATTAATATATATTCTGTTAAAATAATATTTTAGATATTTAGGCATTACAATTAAGATAGTTCGCCATTTGGAGAGGTATGTTATATAGATTAAAAAAAAATTTATATCAAATTAAATATTAAATTCTTAAATTTTAAGTAACTTAAATACACTTCGAACATTTTCTTATTTAACTTTATCTAAAGCCCTTTTATTTGTTACATCTATAAAATTTATAAATAAGTTTTTGCAAGAACTTTAGTTGGTGTTTGTGTGTGTGTGTGCAGGTGTCAGTTTTATTTTGTTTTCAAAGTACAAGTACAGGTATGGTAAAAGTACGAGTATATAAAAGTCAAGTTTTTATTTTACTAATTTTATTTTGTTGTAATTTTCATAAAATGGTATCAAGTAACTGAAAGTCTATAACATTTCTCACTGATTACATAAAACAAACGTTGAAACTTTCTAGAAAAGTTTTGTAACAAAATTATAACAACTACAACAACGACGATGACAACAACAATAACAAACACAAAATAACAGTACACAATAAAAAATTTTTATATAAAATCGAGAACACAAAAAAAAAAAGATAACTAAGAACAGTAAGCAGCTGGCAGCAAAAATATAATAAACAAGAAAAAGTATCTTATGGCACTAAAGTTAAGACTTTGTGCTCTGTAACAATAATTTTCATTACAATTATTGCAAAAGTAATATTTTACATTATAGATACCAGATAAAGTACACATTTCAAAAAAAAATTGATATGAAAAAAAAAACAACAACATAAAATTTGTAATAAAACTTTTTGTATAATAAAAATACGCAACGCAACGGCAAACAAATGAAAATGTGTTTGGCTTTACACTTGCCAATATATAATTTGGTTTTCATTTTTTTTTCATACTCTTTTATATACTCTTACACCACAGTTTAACAATATATTATTAAACTATGGTAATTTTTTCGCACAGTGTACGTTACGTTACGCATGCTGCCAGACATTTGAAAAAGTGCAATAAGCAAATCGAATTGCTTCTTTTACGATTTACAGAATTCTTGTGTACGAGCATTTTTGCAGCTAACTTTTCGGCGCACACAACGTTAACGTTAACGTCAACGCCAACAACAACGTCGCAGCTTAACTTGATTGTTACTACAATACGACATAGCATTTGCTTTGCTTTTACTGCTTCACATTGCCTTGTTGTTGTTACTAACAAAAGGCACTGAGAGGCAGGCAAAATTTGTTTATTTGTTTCCTTGTTTTATTGCAACGACTGCATACGCCTTTACTACTCGTACGTTCATCACCGCACTATTTTATGTTGTCTGTTAGTGTTTGTGCGCTAACATTTGTTTTTGTAATAAAATAAGTTCATATGCCACCCCACGGCAAGCCTTGCTCAACTGTGTCTTAACTGTTTACTATACAATTTTATTCATATTTTATTATATATATAGTTTTGGAGTTGAAAACTTAACTTTGTTTTGGCACATTTTCAAGTTATTTTGCTTTTAATTTTTTTAACTTTTTTTGTCGGAAAAACTATTTCAATGAATTTTACTACATTTTGGATGCCAAAAAAAGAGCCACTTAGTTCTGGCTGATGGCATAGTAGTTGCGTTGCGCTTACAGTCAGTCTACAGCTGTGACTGCATTTGTACTGTGAAATGGTGGAATTGAATCGATTTTAGGGGCGCCAAGCGACTGTGCGCCATTTTTGCCGCCATATTGATTTGTGGCTTAAGTGCGTACCGTGCTCTGTGTGTGCGCTTGTGAACAGTGAGCAGCGTGTATGCACCCATACACATGTATAATGTCTATATTTGGATGAATTTGCTTCCGGTAATATTTGTCTGTTCGTTTATTTCTTTGGTTGTGTGTTTGTTTGTTTAGTTGTTTGGTCGTGTGTCTGTTTGTTTACTTGTTAGTTTGAGTGTATGCTTGTTTCCTTGACTGTGTATGTTACACTGTTTGATTGTAGAAAAATAAACCATTTTTGTTTTTTTAATGTTGTTGTTATTATTATTATTGTTTTAGTTTATTTGTATGTGTAAGTGTGTAGTTGTTGTTATTATATTTGCGGCTGTTGTTTTAGTTTTTATTGCTTTGTTGCTGCCAGTGTTACCATTATAATTTTTGTTATTGTGAATGCTATAGTAAATTGAAAATTTGTTGACTTTTATTCTTACTTTTTTTTGTAAATTTTATTTTTGTGGTCTTATTTTAGGTTAGTTATAAATTTTGAATTTTCTTAATAATTTTTTATTTATATCTTTTGAAAACAATTTTGTACTTTTGCAAAGGATATTTACACCAGAAGTTTATGAATAGTTTTGTTTGTCTCCTTTACAGTTTCTTTTTTTATTTAAGTCTTTTATGAGTTATTTATGACAATATTTGTGGTTAAATTTCTGATTGAAAGTTTAGTAAATATTTATGATATTATTGTAACATTTGTGAAGTGTTTGTGGTTGAAAATATATCACCAAATATATAATAAAAATAGAAATATAAAATTTTATTGAACATTTAAAATGTTTTGATCACTTATTTGTATTGAGTGTTTACTATTGTAGTTTGTGGTTAGAGAGAAAGTAAGAAAACTAGAAATTAATATTTAATTGATATATTTATTTTAATGGTTTGTTGTTAAAAGAAATTTAGAAATTATATAAGCATTTAAACATTCAACAAAAGTTAAAAAATATTAATATGATAATAATGTGTCTTAACACATATAATGTCAGTTAAATCAAGAATTTAAGTGAAAAATGTGACATTTTTAAGATTATTAAATAAATTATTTAAATAATTGATATAAATTTATATATAAATAAAATATATGATATAATTGATATTTATATTATGTATATAATAATTATATAATATATATAAAAAAATATTGGTTTATACAAATATTTTGGACTACTTTGTAAATCATCAAAAACAGTGTACATCAAAAACATATATCTCAATCAATATTCAATCATATAGAATAAATAGTTATAATATAATAAATAAAAACAATATGTCAATACAGTAATTAACAAAAAAAAAAAAATAAAATAAATAAATTGATATAAAAAAGTAATATAACAAAATTATTTAAATATATAATTATCAACAATTATTTTTTAATTTTGTTAAAACATTCTCACTGTTTCAATTTTAAATAAATAATTTATATGCAAAAAAAATTCAGAACATGAAGATGTCAGCCAAAAATTGACGAAATATTGGGTAAATAATAAAATAGAATTTTTTTTATATTTGTAACCAAAAAAAAGTCATACTACCCTTACAAAAATAATAATATTTTTAAAAATTATATTTTATTTTCAGCAATATTTTGATTATATTTCAAATCATCAAGATGACTATTGATACTAATAACTAGAAATATTTCGATATTAAATTGTATAATATAATAAAATAATTTCTAAACATAAATTATGAACCTAATATTGAAAATGTTTCCGTGATATTTTATTACTAAGTTTTAGTTTTTTAATTCACAATAAAATTTTTATATATAATATTTTTATTTAAACTGTTTTATTAATTATATTAAATTCTGTCGTTCCTGTGTTTATAATTTCTCGACTCTCACTTCAAAACAGGTTTGTTCATTTATTTTATATTGCATATTTTTAAATGCAATTATATTTTTTATTTTTTGTATATATATTGTATACAAAAATATGCCCCTGTAAACAGTTATATATTACAGGGGAATATTCATTTATATATTATTGCACTTATTATTAAAATCAATAAAAGTTAAAAAATAAAAATAAAAGTCAATCATGAATTGTGTATTTACTTTGCATCCTTTTAAAAAATTACCTTTATAATTTACTCTTCATAATTTAATTTTCATACCCTTTGTTTTACACAAATACAAAAACAAAAAAAAATAATTTATTATTTTTAAATAAATATAAGAACTCACCTCCACTACTGAAATCAGCAATATAAAGGTGGGCCAACATTTTTTATGATCAGCCTTAAAGTGTACTTCGTTTGCATCCTGTGCCATGGCAGCTTTTTCCATATAAATATGTTCACCGTGTCGTGTACAGCAGGTGCTGCTTGCCGTGCTGCTTGCTGTGCTGCTGTCTGTGTCATATGCTGATGATGGAATGTCAATAATTGTCGATTCAATCGGCAGTAATTTAGGAACGCTCTGTTGTTGTTGCTGCTGCTGATGTTGCTGTTGCTTTTGCTGCTGTTGTTGTTCTTGTTTTAATTCTGTTTGCTTTTGCTGGGTTTGGTGTTGTACTTCACCTACTTTTGCTTCCTGTTCTTGCTGCTGCTGTTGCTGTTGCATCTGTTTTTGCTTTAACTCATATGTCTGTTCCAGATTAGCCATTTTGTTTTTAAAAATTTTTTTTTTGTTGTTTATTTAATTTCTTTTTTTGTTTGTAACAAAAAATTGTAGTCTTTCTTTGATATTTTTTTTTTTAACTTGAATTATTAAAAAAAATCGTTGGCGCCGTTTTGCTTTGTTTTGCTGCAATGAATTAAGAAAAAAGGAAATTTATTAATATATATTTTTTTATGTTTTTATTTTGTGTTTTATTTTTTTGTGTTTTTGTTAAGCAACTGTCATATGCATTGGTGAATTGTTGGAAAATTATTGTTTTTATGCTTTTGTAAATAAATTTTTTTGTTTAAAATATTTGTGCCATTCTTGGAGGAACTGCTTAATGTTAAATAAATCAAAGTTAATTAAAATTTACTTGGTAAACACACTCAATGAGTGCTGAGTGTGAAAATTTTTCTGCAAATATTATTTCAACAACGCATTTTTGGTTTATTTAATAACTTGCGTTTAATTTTCAGATACTTAATTGTGGAAAAATATGAAAATTAAAAAAATGAAAATAAAAAATAAATTAAGTTTTTTTAAAATGATATACTGTTTCATAAATGTAGGTGAAATAAAAAAATATAAGAGTACAAAATATAAAGTCTATGAGGGAAGCAAACATTATAATGTGTGATTTAATTACAATTAAAGGATATTATTATTAAGTGCTTTTTCACAATGTTAATTTGAGGATTATTAACACTGACGCTAGCTCGAGAGATTACAATAATTTAAGCTCCTATTTGAAGCGGAGCACTGTAGTTAACAGATTCTTTCAAACATTATTCGTGTTTTATTTTTGCTTAATAGTGAATTCGTGTTATATTTGTTAAATATTTTAAAGCAATTGAATTAAATTTTTTCCTAAAGCATATTTTATTGTAGAATTATCAGTTTTCAAGCCAATCTATTTGACAGCAAACATGAATGAGTGTTTTTTTTTATTGATATTGTCAACTAGAATTTCCCTTCAAGCATAATTCAAAATGATATTTCCAATAGCTTCATTGTATTTGTGTAGGTGCTAAAGCACTAAATTTACAAAAACAAAAAAAACAAAAAAACAATGCCCCACATTTTTATGTTTTGTCTATTATTTACATAAAGGAGGCACAATATATTTTAATTTGCGTACTCCCCCTCCACTTAATAACAATATTTATGAGCTTAATAAAATGCACATATACGCATTAATGGATATACACTCACACGTGTACACAACATATTCTGATGTGCTACTCAATTTTTGTTCCTTTCGTCTTTTTCAAAGTAGGAAATAGCATAAAAATAGCACATACCAACATCACGACAATAAAAACAAATAGAATACTATAGTTATAACAACAACAATCACAACAACAATGACGACAAGTAATAATTTTAATATTGATATATGCAATATAAAGCTAAATCCTATATCTAATCAAATACACTAAATTTAGTAGCATATTTATGTACTTCGAATGTAAACAGCCCCAGCCCCTTGCAGCATTTACGTGTAAAATATTTTATTATGTTTATAAGCGTTTATGTTTGTATTTGTATGTATGTATAGTATACAACAAAATATTTATTTGAATTTTTATTATTTTCATTGCTGTTGTTGTAAGTGTTGTCAAAAAAAAAAAAACAAAAGAAGAATGTTAAAATATGCTTGTGTAGTTGAAATAAAATTATGTTGTTAGTGCATTTGAAAATATGCTGAAGTAAGTATTTTTGTTTCACATTGAACCCTCACTCCCACTTGTCTTATTACAAGCATTAACACTCTTAGAACGTTTGCATTGTTTTATAGTTGTTCTTGTGAAAGTGTGAGTGTGCGTTTGTGACTGAATGAGTGAATGGCTAAAAGCGGCATTACACTTGGGGGCAAAAGAAAATTTTCTTTTGTTCAGTTTTTTTTTTCACTTATTTTTTTATGGTATTTTATTTGTTTGTAATGGGAAAACTTTTTATTATTGTATTTTCTTTTCTTTTGCTGTTGTTGCCATTTTACTGCTGTTGCTATTGCCAGTACTGCATAACATTGCCATTTGTTGTTATTTTTATTGTTCTTTTGATATGCTCTTGTTGTTGTTGTTGGTGTTGGTGTCATCAAAATTACTTATATTTTTTTTGTTTTTGTTTAATGTATTTGCTTTGTTGTTGTTACTTTGCTTGACTACTATATACTTTTTTTTACATTTTTGTGTACGAGCATCATAAATAAGCAACACTTTTTAAGTATGTCATGCGTAATTTTATTATTATTATTTTTGTGGTATTTTTTTTTTTATTTTTATACGTAAGTTTACATTGACAAAAACTTAAATGAACTTAAATAAAAGTACAACAACTTTAAAGAAAAAAAATACTATAAAGTATGTACAAAAAAAAAGAAGTGTATTAAAACGCACAACTTAAGCAGCTTTTAATTTGAGACGCCAAGGTCTGCGCCAAAGTAATTTTTAACAAATTATTGTAATTTTCAAAAGCAATAGAAAATGGCAAACAAAATTTTTTACCATTATAAAAATATTCAAAAAGCCAAAAAAAAACAATATAGAAAATTTATCAACAAAAAAAAAAAACAAATTGAAAAAAAATGTTAAGGAGAAAAAATGAAATTATGTTAATCGCATTCGTTTCAATTACAACAACAAAAAACAAATAAATTTTATTTGCTAGCATAGCATACAAATGCTGCATGCCAAAGCTACTGTAAGTTTATGTCTTATTCATGTGTATGTGTGTGTGTGCGTGTGTTAGCTTGTGAGTGGCACTTACCCAGTAGAAAAAGTGGTCTTCGAAGACATTGTCTTCAAGACGGTCTTTGATACCGCGTCCGCATTTTCAAGCAAATTTGCAAAACAATTGCTCAAAACATGAATGTAAATACTCTTTATTTGCTTTCTCTCTCATTTTTAGTGTTCATAGCAACGTATTTGAATTTTGCCTCAGATGACGCTATGTTTTATAAATGAAGTGACGCAATAATTTTGAAGTGTAGTGAATAAATATATTGTGAAATAAATATTAAAAAAATCAAAATGAATAAAGAAACAATATCATTAAACTATGAAATATTAAAAAAAAAGAAATTAAATCAATACAAATTAAATAGTGACTTAGTTCCTGAAAAATATATTGATATTAATATTGAAGACAATAATTCCAGTGAAAGTTGTTTTAGAAACGAAACAAAGGATGTTGAAAATAAAAAAACTGAAAACACTTGTGAAAAATTAGCTGTTATATTTAAAAAACACAGGATTAACAGGCGTTGTGGTAATGATATTTTAGAACTCTTAAGATCAGAAGGTTTAATTGTACCAAAATCCTCTTCAACGCTTTTGAAAACATATAAAACTTCAACAATTGATGATAGCGAAATGCTATAAATTATTTTATATTAGTTTTAGTTAATTTTAGATATGCTAAGTTATATTAAGTTAATTATTTAAATTAATTTGTATTACGTTTACTAGTTTTTACTAGTTTATTTTTAATATCTTAATAAAATTTATAATAATTTATAATAAAATTTATAATTTACTTCTAAAACTGTTAATTTTGAATGTAATGTAAAAAATTATTATATAAAATAAATAAAAGTACAAAATACAACAATTTCTTTCTACTTATTTAAAGAGAAAATTGAAATTCATTTAAAATTTAAAGAGCGCAATAAAAGAGTAGAAATAAAAAAAGGGTGAAAAAATTATATGAGCACTGCACTAAGAGCGCACAACTTTCTGTCGAATGCGTCCGTTATGCAAGACATGGTCTTCGAGACGGTCTTCGAGACATGTACACAAAAATTCATTGAAGACATTTGGCTAATTTGTATGAAAGTGTCTTCGAAGACCGTCATACATTTGGATCGATCGGTCTTCATGTATGTATCCATGTCTTGAAGACGTCTTCGATGACGGATCGATCCGTTTTCTACTGGGTACTAGCAGGGAAATTTTTTCAGTTGCCTTTGTTTTGTTAGTGTTTGTTGTTTTATTTTTTTTTTGTTGGTTTTGGTTTTATGTTGGTTGTTAATGTTGGTAACATTACATTTTGAACTATTGTACTTGTGCTGTGTATTTACATTAAATGACAATATTGTGTCAGACAAGATTTTATGTTTAAAGTAGATTTAATGACTTCAAAATATGTATCAAAAGCAAAAAAAAAAATGGTATATATTAATTTTAATGTTGGAAATATAAATTTCAAAATTTAATGCGATTTTTCTTACATAATTAATTTTATAGTAATTGGGATTTTTTTTATGTTGCGTGAATTCAATTGGTATTGAAAGCTTGATGACATAAATCGGAAATATGTTTTTTTTTTTCCAAATGTAGCTGTATCTTTTATAGTTTTTATATATTTTCTATCATGTTCTTATATTTAAAAGGATATACATTTTGGTTAGATTTTAGGGTTACCTTTAAGATCTAATTATATCAGTTCGTACATTTAGTCGATCCTTAAAAGTTTAATGGTTCATATGGGGGATTTTTAAGTTGCTATGGTTTGGATATATTTGGATGTTATTTGCACCTTCAAACAAAGAGCTCTTTAAGTGAATGATGCATAAAGGCTTATTCATTTATTGCGTTGACGTATAAGACTAACATGTTTTGACACTACTTTGAACCCTTAAAAATGCATAAACGGCTCTTAAGTGGATGATTCACAAAGGCTTATTCATTTATTGCATTGACGTATAAGATTTATATGTTTGGGCATTACTTTGATCTTTTAAAAAGCATAGAGAAATCTTTAAGTTAAAGCGTTACTTTGTGGGTCTATTGCGTTGCCGCATTAAATCTTCGGACACTACTTTGAATCTCTTAAAATATATAACGGACACTTGAAGTCAATGATTTACTTAAGCTTTTTAGTCTATAGAGAACTTTATTATTTAAAACCATCCTAAACCTTTAATAAGATCGACGATGATCTTTATGGGGAGATCATTAGAACTCTACAATTAAACAGTTTGAATGTCATTGTCCTCTAATATGAAGGGCTTATTGTTAATTATACTAATTAAACCTTGCTT